TTTTAATTCAAAATTTCCACCAATTTATTATTATTCTTCCGCAATTATGTGCGGCAAAAGGACGCAAAATAAGGTTGTGACTTGCGAAAGAATATTGACTGATTTTGGCAAGTGGAATGGGGTCCGTGAGTACAGAGTTGAAAATTGAAAAATTAAAAGCTCCCAAGGACCATCCATTTTCATTCTCGTCGGATTAAGCAAACAGCAACCAAGAAAAGAGGCCCTCCCTCCCCTCATCATTATTCCTTTCTTTGTTTTCAGAAGTTCATCCAAAGAAGTGAAAGAACCTTTCTCTGCTTATATATTAACTCCTAGCCTACATAAGGAGTGTTTTCTGTACCCATCGGGGAGTTCAGAGACGGCTGCTGCTGCCGTTTAACTTTGATCACTATGCCTGGTTTTCCTTTCCCCATCCTTTTCTTCAATGGCAAACTTAGTCCAAGCAAAGAGTTTCAATGGTTAGCATCTGGGTTTCTTGGAATCATCGTCTGCAAAATTGTAAGTATGCCAAAATTTTGGAATTTTCAGTCTGTAGTAACAATAGTTAGTGAATGTATCTTTCTAGCCCTTCTGAAAATGGGAAATTGGAATGTGGGTTTGCTTTGATTTCTTTCTTCTAGGTTCAGTTCTTGCCTTTTTTGCAATTAAGAGACTTTTTTTTTCTTTTTTGAGTTTTATGAATCGAATGTGAGTGTTCCTTGGAATGTTAGATCTTTCTGTTTATTAAGCTCCTTTCTTTAATTATAATTTCAATACTGAACAAAAAACCTTGGGCTTTCTGCATGAATATTCATTCTAATTACAAAAAGGAAAAAGAAAAAGAAGAGACTGATTTAAGAACCCAGTTACGTTTGTAAGGTGTTAGTGTTTGACTAACATGTTTTTTCTTTCATATCATGGGATGGAAATCGATTTCAGAATCTTCTCTTTCTAAACGCTTTTCTTTTTTTGAAGGTTTATGATTTAACGGGTTCTATCAGCTTTTATTGCTTCAAGGGATATCAAAAACTAAGTAGTAAACAAAGAGTTGAATGGAACAACAGGTGCAACTCTTTCTGCACGGTCCCTTTTGATTTTGTCGAATGTTGGCTATGATTTTTCAATCTCTCATGCAACAATAATGTTAATGGCTGTTACTTGTTTTGGTACAGAGGATTCTCAACATTCCATGCTCTCATTGTAGCTGTGATTTCTTTCTACCTCCTACTGTTTTCAGATCTTTTCAGTGAGGATTCTCAAGATACTTTGATCATTAATAGGACATCCACATTGTCCAACACAATTTTGGGGGTAAGTTGATTGGGAAGTGAGCATTGATGCAGTTATGGAAGAATTCTTGGATGACTAAATTATGTTACTTAAGGTTATCTTGCAAATGCAATTCTAGGATCTAGGGATCGTAATATTCTTTCCTATTAAGGTTAATTATTTGGAGCCAGTTAAGGTAATGAAGAATTGAGTTTTTCCCCCTCGA